CAGCGATTATATCAAAGCTACGCTGGAGCAAAGTTGAGATCACATCAAAACTTTGTGAAATCATGATGTCAGAAACAAGACGGTTGGAGCGATTGGAAAAATCCGTAGAGAAATTACGGATCGATTTTCAGAAATTACTCGAACAAAGTCAAGGACGACGTCAACGCCATCACAAAAGCCGAACGGACCGCCGCCCATCACCGCCAACGCCACCGCTGCCGCTGTCGAGCCTATTGCCAGACGAAGAGGAAGAGGATGACGATGAATTTTTCAAAGAGCCACCGCCGCCGCCGCTGCCGAGCCTATCGCCGAAGGGAGAGGAGGAGGACGACGATGACTTTTTCGAAGAACCCCAATTTTTTGTGAGTTCGCCGAAAGATGAATTGTCGAATTCACTTGAGGTAATTTGGGACGAAGGTGAGGAATTAACTAAGGAAGAGAACGAAGAACTACAGTGGATATTAGAAGAGTCCCACGATATTCAAAAGAAAGGAGACGAACAAGATTTGGTGACTGTGAATGAGCCCGGATCTGTTAAGACGACCGAGAAAAATAAAAGCATGATATTGATTGTGAAGGAGATGAAATTTGAAAAGGCAATTGAGAAGGTTGATTTGTCGGGAAAAAGATTGAATATTTTCGCTAAAGTAGCCTTTGTTATTTCATTGGATCAGCATGAACAATGTGGTAAAAAGCTCGGTCGTTCATCGTGTTTTTCGGAGTCAATCGGGAAGCAAGTCGATGAAGTCAAACATAGGTGGAAACGCAAAGGAGAGAGACCAAATTGACTCGAACCTTGAGGACAAGGTTCATTTCAAGAGGGGTGGTTTGATACGATATATTATTTAATATATCGTTTAATTATTAGTTTAGTTAATAGTTTATTATTAATTAATTAGATTAGTATATTTATAATAAATATTACCGTGAGTTAGTAGTGGTTAGGATATTATTAAGTATTTTATTAGTTAGGTCATTACCTTTCCTAGTTAGATTAGGATTCTAGGGTTTTATTCTCTTTAAATAGTCGTCTTGTGCTAGGGTTTTATTATGAAGAGAAAAATATTAAAGAATAGATCTTACGTTTCGTAGGAAATATTTATGATACTCGAGAGATCGCATCACAGATTCACCTCATCAGTTTGACTAGAAAGGAAAATTCAAATGCAGTTCTGAGTCAATTATTTTTGTGATTTTATGGAGCAAATTTGTAGAAAAATAGGTCAACCCGCGAAGTTATTGGATTTACCAAATGTCAAAAAAAGTCCAATTATTTGGTTTTTTATTTTAGAAATTCAAATCATGTTACAAGTTGACGAAGTATGGGAGGACATGATTCGAACCCTAGACCTCTACTCTAATAGTAGAGACTAGATACCAACTATTTATTTAGTAGAGAGTCAGAGACTAGATTCTAATTATTTAGTTAATCATTGCTGATTTCTTCAACCAAACGAGGCCTTAGTGAGTACATTTTTCGTAAAATTGATCGGAAACCGAGTTGTTATGGGGCCACAAGATGATGTTCTCTCAGAGGTTTTATTCAAAATTTGGGTTGCATGCTCCTTTCAGTTTAAGAACTTATACTATATATATATATATATATAAGAGAGCTTATATTAAAACAAGATGTATATATTTTATTTCTATAGTACGTAATATAAAATGTATTGAAAAGTTTATAATAAATTGAATCAAACACATCAAAACATCTTATAAACTGTACAAATTTATAGAAGATTTTTTTGAAAAAAAAATATTCGGTTTAAAGGATGCATGCGACAATTCATCGACCACCCCATTTTAAAAAACTACTGTGAATCGTAACAAATCACAAATCGTAAGAGTTTTATTTATTTATTTATTCCTCACCCCTATAAGCGGTTCGTTTGCCTCAGCTCGGCTATCGATATTTCAGTTTAGGTCTTCTACAATATTTAATTTCAATGTAAAGAAAAACGAAATGCTTCATATATATAATATGTATATCGATTCCGATATTCCCCTAATTGTTAGGTAATTACAAAATTATCTGACCCGATCCGATGTACATGACCTCTAGTAATAAAGTCGAAACAAATATCGAACTACACACACGAAACTTTCAGCACCCTACACGTAGATCTCCATGCATTAATGTTATTTTCCCTCCTTTTATCAATTCCCATGCACACCTTTCATTACCTCTCTGGTTTAAACAGGCAAGCATGAAATAATTAATATTGGATTTAAATTTTTGTTGCCTAAAAAAAAATGAATTTCCATTTTTAGTAAAAGAAAGTCTGCAACAGTCGCATTCGTATCCCAACTTTAGGGAGTTGGATTGGCTGAATATATTGCATGGGGTATGGGCCACACCTTACGTTCCATAATCCTAGTAAATGATAGTAGATTGCAAAATCTAATCATTTATAATAAAAAAAATATTATATATAATTAATAATATATAAATAAATTGGAAAGTAGTCTGTATTCATGAGTTCTTGTTTAATGAGCATCCATATTGTACTGATCTTTTTATGTGTTTGTCTTAAATGAGGATCCTTTTTTTCTTATTTTCTTCGACCTTGAACCGCGCCCTAGAGACATGGTGGGCAGTAGTACTTTTTGCTGAATTTCAATGTAAGTTACGGTACGGTATGGTACGGATAATGTAAGAGATCCATGTATATATGCTTTATTTAGTGTAATTTGCTTTAATTAAAAGTATGCTAATTACTTCAGCCTTTTTTAAAATAAGTGTCGTTTAAGGTTAATGCACACCAATTAAGAAAGTTATGCTCCTTCCTGGAGATAGTGGTCACTTTTGTTAGTTGCACACATATTAAGAAACTCAATAGATATGCATAGATACTAACAAAAAGTATAGTAAATCACTAAAATGCCCATGCCATTAATTGATTTTCAAATAATTATATTTCAGTTAATTATGAGTGAGAAAGGGCAAACTTGAAAAAAATGCAATTACTTAGTCATTGGAATAGGAAAATGACAAATAATTTGAAATATGAAAAATGGCAAAAGTGACAAGTATTAAGGGAAGGAGGGAGTAATAAAATACTCTTGAGTTTAGGAAAAATAATTCATATTTGACAAAACTAATCCTTTTGTGGCTTTAAATCTGTCATTATTAGTTCATTAATCTCTTATTAATTGTAGAGTGAAATTGAAAAAAAAATATTGTCCTATCTTGAAATTCTAAAGTGATACTTCAAAAGAAACGGATGGAGTATTTCATGCAAGCGTCTTAATTTAAATGATGTTTTGGGTTATTGTGCGCATATTAAGAAAATCAATTAATGTGCATAAAATATAGTTAAAAAACATAGAAAATAAGTAAAATATTCTTGACGTTAATTGTTTTACAACTACTCCCTCCGTTCCAAATAAAGTGTTACTTTAGGAGTTTTCTGTTACTTTAGACTTTTTTTTTTTTTGAGAAAATTACTATAGACTTTCAATGATGCAGTAATTACTGTTTTACCAATATAACCCTTATTAATTTGAAATAGTTAAGAAGAAATTAATTAAACTAAGATTAATGATAGGGGTACTTTAGTCGCATTATATGTCTAAAATCAACACATATTTCATTTATTAATTTTCTTACTATGTGTACAACAACCCAAAACGTCAATTATTTTGGAAGAAAGGGAGTAATTAATTAGGAGTGAAAAAGGGGAAAATTAAAAATATTGCAATTAATACTTCATTGAAAATCTTAGACTTTATTTTGCAATCACCTCAACTTGTACACTTGCATGCGGCTTAAAATTGATAATTTAGGATATTTGCAAGAACTCGATAATTAAGTTCTTCCCAATTGATAAACGCGCAAGTTGTAAGGTTGTATGAGTAATTGCCCGACTAATAGCTTTACTAATATTGATATGATCTTACTTCGTTAGGGGTAACTTGAGTTGAAGTGCGCCGAGCCGCCGTGACTACGATAGGTTCAATGCGCACAAAGTGAAGATCGACGCTCAAAGTCAGAAATCGTAGAGACAAAACTAATTCAAAAGTTAGGGAATGCTTAGAGAACAATAAATTATGTAATTTACACTAATGAATTTAGAGGTAAATATAAGATAAGGGATGAATTAGAGGTATATATTAGGGTAAATTTATTTTGCAACCATGCACTATACAAAATGTATCATTTACCTCCATGTATAGAAAATATCAGACGTCCCTATATTTTTTACGGTCAATGGTCAAAAGGTTAACGATATTAGCTAGCTTTAAGTGTGCAGTGACTTTTATACCACACTTTATGTCTGATCTCTCTCGAATCTCTCTCCCTCTCTTCGATTTTTAAAAGAAACAAAACCTACAAAATCTCTATCATTCCCAATGTTTTCGTGAAATAAGTTGAAGAACTCTTGTATGAGCACATTAGAAGGATGAACTTTCAGGAAAAAAATGCTAACGACTGGGGGTGATTGATGTTTTTTATACATCAGGGAGTAAATGATATATTTCACATAGTACATGGGTGCAAAATGAATTTTACCCTGTATATTATAAATATTAGTATTTCTTTAGTTGGAGTCTTTAGTGGGCTCGAACCCCATTAATTTGTAGCATTAATTCCTTGGGCTTTTAAATACATTGATATTAAGTAATTACTTGGGCTTGCCCTTATGGTAGCCCATTAATCCTTGTATATATAAAGCAAAAAAAAAATAAAAAAAAAAACAATAAATAAAGATACAAAACCTTATTGAATCCAAAAGTCACATTCCTTAGCTCTGCGCCATCGGTATATGTAATGTCGAGATCCCATCGAATCAAATACATGCGTTTACTAGAGAAGTATTCGATGTGCTGATTTTCACCTATATCAAGTTTTAGTTTACGGCACTAATCAACCAAGAAATGGGCGTTGTCCGAGATTTGGTACGCCTTCGTACAAAATGTCTAAGCTTCCAATATTGACCGGTACTCTTTTGTGAAGGAAAATAGAGCTGCATTTTGATCGAGTCGTAAACTTTGATCGGGTTCAGTTTCTTCTACCAGATATGAATTTCCACAAACTGTTTTTGTCCAACCTAAAAAAAGATATCATATAGCATAATATACGAAATGCAGCTCGATTCACTTGCAACAAGTTATGAATGATACATAGAATAAAAGGAAGAGTAAATACAAAATTATTGGTAGGTTCAAAAGCAACTAACATAAACTATCATGAGATGAGATAATTCCTTCATTTTAAGCTTGCTGCAATTTCCTACAAAGGGTGAGCAAAAAAAACCGAGAAACCGAAAAACCGAACCGAAAACCGAAAAAACCGAGCCGATCTGTGCCGTCCCGACTTAAAACCGCATACACGGTAAAAAAAAATTGAAAAATTGGAGAATAATAAAATTACCGAACCCATTTAAGAATATAAAACAACGTCGTTTGAATATAATATAAATACTTACCGGTGTTTTTTAATAGTTAATTTTTTGTTGTTGTTTGTTAATTTTCTCAAACAAATGTGAAGAAAGCCAATTCACTGTTAATCAAATATCGGTTTCATGCCAAACTGATAGACGAAATCAAAATTGAAAATAAACCGAAATAATACCGAAACCGAAAACCGAAAACCGAAAAATCGATTAGCATCCAACCGAGAAAAAAACCCGACATGTTCGGTGTTTAAAATATGAAAAAACCGATATAATCTGTACGTGCTTGTGTTAATTGCAAAAACCGAGCCGTACGACCCGTGCACACCCCTAGAAACTACGACAACTCTAGTTAGAAACACTAGAGGCAGAGTTAGGCAGAGTTTACGCAACATATCATACATAATCAACGAGGTAGAGGAGACATAATCAACGAGGTAGAGGAGACTCCAAAAAAAAAAAGAAACATCGACTAGCGAATCATCAAAAGAAGCATTGGCTAGCAAATCACGAAAAGGGTCATCATCGACAAAGCCATCATCGAAATCAACGACAGAGATTTCATCTTGATGCGGCATTTCATCGAGCACCTTAGCTTCGGCATCAGCAATGGAAAGAGCATCAAAATCCTCGACAATGTTTTGGGTCAAGAGCAAATCATCGTACACACCGAGATGATGAGTCTTACAGATAAGCTCGAAAAAGAGTCGTCGGTCTTCGTAAGCTTCCGACGCCTCCTCTGCGCTACTGAAAGTACCAATACACACCTTATCTTTATAAATAGGGTGCCATATATCTGCAGCCCATGCGCCCGAGTCGCACAGTCTTACACCTCTGTATTCTCTCTCTCTACGTGTAACAGTCTCTGATTCAGGGGCGGCTCTTGACATGTTTTCTTGCCTGCAACAACAAACATCCCCCCGATATTGTATTTACGAAAACAATTAAAAGCCACATCAAACGACTTCTAAACCAAGTCGTTGCATCGAATAAACATACGAATGAATATACGATTTTGCTAAATACAGTAGAACCTCCATAAATTAATACTCGATAAATTAATAATCTCGCTTGATAATACTTTCTTTCTGTCCCAACTCGGTAAAAACATATTAATTATTAGTTCGAT